CTTTCTTTCTCTCCTCTCCTTTGTAAAATTTTTAATAGTTGAAATTAACCAATGATACCTTCAGCATGGAAAAGCAATAAGTGTGTGTATTAAGAATTTGTCTTCATTCATTATGATGATAATCGGTGGGCAATGAATTAATGAAGAATTAACTTCTTTCACAAAATGTTTTATTATTACTAAAAAATATGGCGATTTGGAAACTTTGAGGAAGATTGAAAATCAGAGATAGAAAATCTGAGAGATAAACAGTCTGTAACAATTAACTGAGCAAATGTTGAGGAGCTCTTACATAAAATTTACTTTATAGTGTATTTCTACCCGTAATATTGACCAAGTACAACTTTCACAGCACTGTTTATAAATGGATGCCCTCTGAAATTTTAGATATAAAACAATAAGATGAGCATTGTTGAAAACTAAAATGTGTTATTGCATTGCACTTTTTTATTTGAAGTAAAAATCTAAAACCCTCACAAGTATTTGTTTTGTGTTTTAAGCTGTTGACATTTAAAATATACTAAATGAATAAAAATGTCCAAGCAAAGTAATAAATAATACAATTATAGGTAGACACTTTTCACACTAGTTTATTAAATTGTTAGCAAGCTAACACTTTTAAATTTCCCCATTATATATGAAACTAGTTTCCCGAATTTCCCTTCAAAGAGAAAATCTTAATTTTTATTTATAATTAATTTCTTTAAATGATTGTCTTGCAGTCAATAGTGTAAATTGTGCATTTTGACAATAGGATGAAAGGTAGGTGTATTTAAACACAGAGAGAAAATAATTACCATAATGTCCCCCCCCAATGGGCTAGTAGAAACCAGTCTAGGAGGCATTAATATAACTTTTATGGATTGTTATTATAAAGCAAAGGTGAGTATTTTAAGTATGCAGTATTGAGATTTTAATCCGTGTGAAAGCTTAGATGTTGCTGCCTTGCATTTAAGCCTTTCCTTTTCCAACTACAAATGAGGAGATTTACATTGAACTAGAAACAGCATTTAATTCGCAGTTTTCCTTCCATTCATTTCTGGCCTTAATGTTAATTCTAAAGGAATTCCGGCTCTTGACTTATGAATGTAATCTTTGGGGAATGCTCATATAGGTCATTCATAGCTACAATTATTATCTTATGTCAGTCAGCACTTAAAACAGTTTACACCTAAAATTAAGCTAACACTCGAAGAAAACTAAAAACTAAAATTTATATTTTATATTTCATAGCTTTGAGATATTTGAATTTTCAATAGCTGTTATCTTCAGGATCCAGCTTATTACTTTTATTAATTCTAAAGAATACAGTGAAAGTTTATACTTAAGCAATGCTGAAGTGAGTAATAAAGTCATCTTTTTTAAAGAAAACATGATGATCAAAATATCTAGGAAAAATACAATACTAGAGTTAAATTGGAGTAAGACAGTAACTCTGGTTTTAACATTGTACCTACTAACCATAATAATTTCTTGACACTCAATCATATAGATAAATAAAGTTTGAAAATAAATATTTTATAGACTAGTAGCTATAAAGCATTTGCCGTCTTTAGTCTAATATGACTCAAATCTAGTAAAACACACTTTATCAAATAATCCCCTACCCCCTTCTCCTCTTTTGGATATATTTGCTTTTTAAAATAAGGCAAGTATTTATTTTCATTAGACTAATCTGATTAAAATTATCTGCATGTTTATGTTATAGAATGCTTGCCTAAAAGTAAGAATGATTTTCATCCCTTTCATTACATTATTTGGAGAACAATCTCATATAATTCAAGCCAAAAAAATCACACTATTTATAGACTTTTTTTAGATCACTTGCTCTGTGTGATTGTTTTAAGTAGAGTTGTAAAGTTTTGACTATTAAGAGTCCCTTTGAAGGTGTGGCAGATGTTGGCATGGTAAAGAGGGCTGGAAAACATAGCAGGTTCAATCTTACAAAAATGGTCAGCCCATGAAAAATGTTTAACATAAAAAATGTGGCATACTTTTTATCAACCTCAGTAATTTGAAATTGTCAATAAACTACAAGTGGAGCCTAAAGTCTAAATATATCCATTTTTATACCACTATGCTTTTTGAGTTTGTTAACATGTAGATTCATGTATGTCTGTGAAGGTGAAATGCATATTATGATCCATTACTATGAACCAAATGTAAGATTTATAAATATTTTGGCTGTTTTTCAACATTTTCTGGCACTATTTCTACTATAACTTAATTTGGCCATAGATAAGACATGCATACAGTCCTAGTATAAGATACAGTGATATGAAATTTTTATTCCAAATTTCCAGGAGATTTAGATATTACATTTATGCTCAACCAAAAAAAAATACATCATAACTGCACACTTCCTTACAAAATATAAGTGATTTTCACTTTTCATTAATTTTTTCTCATACAATTGCAAGAGTCTAGAAATTAATTAATTTCTTGAAAAGAAATATTGAAAGCTTGAAAGTGAGCCATTAATTACACAAAATTGTGTTCATGTAACACATGAGGGAAAATACAGTTCAAATATTTAGTATGTGTAAAAAAGTATAACAATGGAATCTGTTCAACTCATAAATAGAAGGAAGGGTATACGGAGGAATGATGAAGGAGATGAGGTTAATTGGTATATATTGTACATATGTATAGAAATGACACTGAAATTCATTGTACAACTAACATATGCAAAGAAAAAAATCTTTTCAAGAACAATTGTAATCATTTTCCATGTTGTTTTAGTTTCTGCTAGAATATGAAATAAAATAACTTTGAACACTCATTATAGAAGATGAAATGTATTATCGTTACAGGAGAAGGGTATCTTGAATGTAAATATATCTAACGATCTAACAAATATTTACTCAGACCCAGCAATTGGCAAATTGAATTCTATTTTCAATAAGTGTACATTAATCACTGTGATGTTTTCTTTTATTTAACCAAATAGCCCTTCAATATATTTTGATCAAAGAAAAATTTTATTCTAAGTCCCCAGTGGTTTTTATCTTTGGCAAAGAGTAGTTCCCCCCCCCCCCCATTCAAGTTGAAATTGACTGATACTTTAAGAAGATGACACAAGTTTTTACTTCTTTGTTTCTTAGTACCCTAATAATCAGCTTTAAATGTAAAAATAAGCTTTATTTTGTTATATGACTATTTTTTATTTATGAAGGGGATGGTAAGGATTTGATTAGCTAGAGTTTATGAAAATAGGGTCATTTAAAGGGTCGGTTTTTGAATCCTACTTTCTCTGATTGTCCCTACCAAAAATAATGTATGTCTTTTAAGGATTCTAGGAGTCGTGAGGAGCAGTCAATCACATAGATTTCTCATGCAGAAAGTAAAAGTGAATGATCAGTTCTGGAAATTCCAAAAGAAGCTGACCATCCTGCATTGCAATTGTCTTCTGAAAGCTGCTACTGTCAAAAGAGCTGTCCATGAAACCATCATGAGATTCAAAAACTGATTTTTATAGCTAATGAAAATGGAAACTCTCTTTAGATTAACCTTGCAACTAATTGTCTAAAGAGAACTTCATTGGCAGTTAATGAAATCTGTTAAGGAATGATTGACCCGTATTGGTAACTTCCTTAGATATAAACTGATTTGTGATGGGGCATTAAAAGTTTATACTTGACCTTGAAAATGAAAAGTTAGATTTGTGACTGTCAGGAACAAACTTGCATGGTAAATACTGGCGGAGAATTGGCACCGCTCCACAAGGTACCATGAAGTTACCCTCCTTTACATCGTATCTTGCCCAAAGTTTCACAGAAGCTAAACATTTTCTTAATCCTTCAAACTTGATATCAGAGAAAACCTTTTTAGGACTTTCATGGCAGAATTACACCAGAGAAGAATATGAATGCAAGTGTTACGTTAAGCAGATGATAACTTTCAAAACTTTAGAACCCAAGTGGCCCTCTCTCTCACACAGTGGAGGGAAATTCACGATTTCTTTCACTTGTGCGTATCTTTTAGCATCTTTATAAGAGCGTTGAAGAGTTGCAAAGATTTTCAGTTCCTCTAGATTACTAGAAAAGCACTAGCCCCCTTTAGGCTTCTAGTTCAAGGAGACTTTCCTGTTGCTCGCTTGGCTGCTGCCTCATAAACTCCTGCAATGCCTGTGTCAACTAACTTATCATCCGGCATGAAGCAAGCTAGGAGTACCGAGTCCGGTAGTCCGGTGCCCAAAATGGGAGAGGATTCACTTTTTCACTTTTGAGTCTCAAATTCTCCTCACTCCTACATGCGTACTAACTTTCATAAAGAATCAGCGTTCTTCAAGAATCTCAGCATCTCCGTATTCACAGTTCTCTAATACCTTGCTTAAAACCCTCTAAATTCCTAGATAATTCCTTCTTCCCCCAAAAGAAGGAGAAAACGTTTATCATTTAAAATAAGGTGCTGTGAAAAGATCCCTGACATCAGAAGGGGGGGGAAAAAAAGAAAACCTAAAACTTTTTCTCATGTGCTTTGCCAAGTTCCACTGCAAGTTCCAAATATCGTGAAAGAACTTGGAAGTCCAGTGAGCGACGGGGAGAATCAAGCCACTCAGGAGTTGGGAATTTGCAAGCGAAAAGTCCAGGAGCGCCTTGGCACGCATGCACGCAGCATGGGGCGCGCTGCCGCACGGACACCCCCTGCCCCTCAGCGGGGAGGGATAGTCACGCTTCACAATCGATTTTATATAGTCACTTGCTTATCCGCCCCCCCCCCCCCCACACACACACCACCACCACCACCACCACCACCACAGCCTCTGGAACTTGGGATCTTGGAGAACTTAAGGCTGCTGGCTGTACACGTGCTATCCTCAGGGAAACCCGTGTCCCCAAATAGTTGTCTGGCTGAATTTGGCCATGGAAAGCCCAAGGAAGGCAAGAGCCCTATTTCTCATCTTTCCTGGGACCTCTTCCCTGGCATCGCCCCCTCCATTCCCACCTCCTCCTTCCCCTGTCGGGACACCTCGCCTGCCCAGAGGTGTATACCCTTACCCGAGCTGTCGCTTTTCCTCTTGCTGCCGCTTCTCTTCTCCACCTCCGCGGGTGACAGCGCTTGGCGGCCGTAGTCCCCCGGTGCGCACGCCGCGCCGGTCGGAGTGCTGGAACCCAAGCTGGATGAGTTGGAACACAAGACCGGCGGGCTGCTCCCCAATTCCGGGGGCCCTCCCGAGTCGGGCTGGAGACAGAGACTGTGCCGAGCGGCGCTCGGTGGGGAGGACATCTGCGGGAGGTGCCAGTTGGTTTGCAGAGCCTGGTGCTGCTGCTGCTGGTGATGGTGGTGGTGGTGGTGGTGGTGGTGGTGGTGTCCCCGGTGATGCTGGCTGGCAAACATGCCCTCTTCATTGGGGTATCCCGCGATTATGCAAGACGAGGAAGAAGTTGAGAGTTCGGGGTAGGACATATGGTCGGATCTTCCATGGAGGGCGAGGGAGGACTGGGAGAAGGGGTGCAAGCCTTGCGCTGTGGCGTGCGGGCTGCGCAGGCAGCCAAAGAGCGGGTGTTCCATAGCATGCAAATCTCGGGGTCCAAGCAGACGAGTTCTCGATGGTTCCAAACGCCGCCACCACCCTCTGTCACTTTTTACTGGAAATCGTGTGACTTGACCCCCCCTCCCTCCCTCTTTCTCTCTCTCCCTCCCAAAGTAAGAGCGGCGCGCTTTTCTGCAGAAGCTCGGCTAATCCCGGTCTTGGAGCCCTAGCGGCCAGTCTCCTTTACATAAAAACCCTGGGACCCGCAGGAGCGTCCCTCGAAGCTGCTCAGATGTCAAGGGTAGGAGAGACCGAAGCCAAAAGAAGGTGGTCCCAGAGAACTGCATTCAGGGGGAAATGGCTCTGAGAGGTTATAAATAGAGTGTAACGTGAGCTGGGGGCTGGCTTAGGAGCCCGGAGCTGACCACAGGCAAACTCCCTCCAAATCTCCCGCTCAGTCTGCGCCGCCGCGCGCGCTCCTTTCCACCGCCCTGAGCTGCCTGGGCAGAAGCGGAACGTCCACGCCCGCGGGGCCCCGGCAGCCTCCGGGAAGGCAAAGCCCAGATGCCGGGTGGTGGCTGAGTCCCGCCGGGACGGGCAATGGCTCCACCCCCGAAGGCTCCGGGCAGCTTAAGTCAGTCACCCCCCACCCTCCACACACACACACACACACACACACACACACACACACACACACACACTCCCCCAATTCCCTCATAGAGTTTCCTATCCACTCCCTATTCTGGGGAAGTTTGAGTTTGCCACTAACATGAGGGAACTGTCACCTGCAAGAAAGCAGGGAGAGCGCCTTGCCCTAGAACACAGAGAAGACTTGATGGGATGTAATGGAAAGATGAGAGTTAATTCAGGGAACGCTGGGAGAAGTCCTCCCCTCCCCACCCCCAAACTCAGTGGTTTTGTGTTTGTGTTTGTGTTTTTCTGTTTCCTTAGCGCAGCAGCGCGCCTAACTTTTCAATGTCTTTGTTGGAGTGAATGGATAAAACGCTTGGAAACCAGGTCAGAGATGGCAGAGCTATGCGCCACAAGCAGCAGAAGATGATTCTCCACATGGGAAGGAGAGGGTCCCGGGGAAGAAGGTTGTTGGTGTCTGGGGCTCTGGCATCCCTCTGGCGCACGGCTGAGTGGCTCCGGTTCTTTTCCTTTCCCGCCTCTGCCTGTCTTTCCTGGTCCCACTCAAATCCCTAGCCATTTACCCACCAATAAATTTCCCTGACGGAGGACTATTCCGAAGCAATCTTTTCCCAGTAGCAAGTACATTTCTAGCCTCTTGCAGGAGACAAGATTCCCTTATTTACTTCCAGAAATCTATTCTCTCGCTCAAACAAATAAAAAAAAAAAATCAGGTAGCCACACCCCTTTCAACAAACTGCGATTCCATTTACGGAGAAAGTGATTTGGGACCATTTTGCATCCTCCAGCCGTTCACGACGTTTGAGCGCTCCGGGTCTTTCTGGTTACAATTGGCATCCTTGTATAGGAATTCCGAAAGTTGCCACCGTGAATTTGTGAGCGCTAGGGGCTGGCCTTTGATTCTGACACTTGTTTGGGTGACAACACGGTCTGCTAGGGCCTGAGTCCTTTACACAGGGCAAGCAAGCAGAGGTAAAGGACAGCAGGAAAGTCCCCACTCTGTCTGGACTGGGCATGTGGCCTTGGGAGAATATCAGCAATCACCAACCTTGTCCCACAGTGTCACCAGCAGTACTATCCTGTTATTTTCATTGTCTCAGGTGTCCATTGCATGGTGACCTGGTCTTTGAAGTTGTTAATGGGATTAATCAGAACAGCAAACTGGGCTAGACATCTGGTTTGAATTAGGAGAAAGTATTGATTAATCTTGAAGGGGCGTCTGTAAGGAAGGACCTTTCCCTCTGTCCAGCCCCTCTAGCTCCTGTCTGTCTCTCTTCCATTTGAAGGCTTCGAAATAAACCTTCACATCCGTGTGAAAGATCGAATTGTTTTCCATTTCTTAGAAATGGGGTGGAGTGAGGTTGATCAGGAATTCTGAGATTGGTAAGCACTGCTTTCTTTAACGGAAATTGAGCCCTATTTTGAGGGAAATTAGTTTTGCAGACTTCGTTAAAAAAAAAAAAAAAGGCATGTAAAACTTTCGTTTACCAGCTGCTCAGCTTTTCAGTCTGAGTCTGAGCTGGGAACCACTGCAACTCTTTGACGGTAAGGCTTTCTTTGCCGATATTTTGGGACCCAAATGTTGTTTTATATTTCTGAAGGGGATCTTGGGGTGTTTCTCGGTCTGCACATTTCTCGGGGTTTTCAGCACTGGCAGGATGGCATCTAGGACTTAAATCTTGGAAGCATTTCTTCCTGCCACTCTCCATGCTCTTGGCTAGGTAAGAATAAAAAGGGGTTTAGGTTTCCATAATCGTGGAAATATTTTTGAATTTTCATCGTGTTTATGGTTTCAATATGTGCTCTGATATTAAAAGTTGTAATACGAGAAAAAAAAAAAGCCAAAATACCATACCTGCTATACTTTGTAGATTCTGGGTGGACACATTAAGATTTTACTCAAATTGAAGTTATTAGGCAACTACCTCAAGAAACACAACCAGAAATGTTGTGGTAGTAATATGTTGCTAGTCAGAATCACCACAAAATGTTAAGATTGAAGAAAATATACTTTACCCCCAGATAAAGGGTAAAAATAAATTAAATAACGAAATAAATAGGGACACCCATAGTTCAGCTTTAGTTTTCATTACATATATTCAGATGGTTCTAAGCAGGTAGATCTTAAATAAATATTTGAATTGAATGGAACATTGCAGGTAACTAGCAAACAGTAAACACCAAGTTTTCATCCTCAAGGGTTGACACTTCTTGAACCTGCTCAGTTAACATATTAACATGTTTAGAAACCTTCTACAACCTGCCTCAGTCACCTACCAGGGAAGGGTGGGGTCATCAACCTGGAGAAAAGGGGAAACATTTTTAGAGGAAGGAATTCCCTCTCATCACCTGCAATTCAAACAAAGCTAACAAGTCTTTTCAATTGAAGAAACAAAGTATCTGGAAAAAAATGAAATCCAGACTTCTAATAGTAAGCATAATAGAATAGAAGCAAACTGTTATTTGGGGAAGAAAAATGACTCAAAGAGGGAAAAAAAAAAGGTTTTGCAGTGCAAAACCAAATAGAACTTACTTGATATGTATATGTATGTATGTATATTAATGCTTTACCCATTTATAAAACTTCTCATTTCTTAGAAATTTTGGAATAAGATAGAATTTTGATTTTTGTTTTCCAGGCTATAGTGACATTTTAGTATAAAACAACAGAAAAACATTCCTAGTACTTCCTATAATTGCCAGTTCAGTGTTTTGCATCTGTAAAATCCAGTGATGAAAGATGCTTTTCCAGTAATTACATTAAAATAAGTAGAAAAACATTTATAAAAATTCTAAATGGTTGTAATTTTAAACTACATATGGCATAGTATTTTTTCCTACACCTACAATATGTCTGAGTTTTCCAAAAAGAAAATCCCACCAAAACTGTTACATCAATGTCAATATGTGAGGTCTTAGTATCAAGTTGCACATTTTGAGATTGATTATATGAACGTGAAATCTATTTGGTTCTTATAGGGCACATAATCGAAATTATTTTAAATATGTGCTAGGCTCTTTAAACTTGATAAGTATGTGTATATTATTCCCTTTACTTTCATGAAATGATATTGAATTGTAAAAGCAGAGTTTTTTTTAGAGTATTTTAAAGGTTGAACTATATGAGTTGCAAAAATTTAATACTTGAAAGTAAAAATGTATTGTACATTAATTGTCCAAAGAAACAGCTTTCATTATGACATTTTCATTCATGTCTGTAATATATTTGATCTTATTTTAAGATTTATGCTCATTGTTGCAAAATCTGCCATTCTTCTATACTTTTACAACTTGAGATTTGAAATGAAACTCAAAATTAAAGATAATAAACCTCTACTTTGCTTTTTGCCTGATATATATATATATATATATATATATATCATCATAATATATGTTTAAATGTGTATAATTAAGTTGAAACTGGAAATTATCTCTGAAACATTTATTGATTATAGGGATGTTATTTTTATTATATATTTCCCCAAGAAATAATATGTCCTTCAGTTGATTATTTTGAAATTAATAGTTTAAAACTATTTAAATAGACTAAATACTCAATGGTAATTTATTTGCTTTATCATCCTCTACATTTTATGAAACCATAAAACATTTTTCTTCAGAAAATGTAAATTATATAATTTAGGAAACAAATGAGTTATGGCTAAGATATGTTACTTAAAGGTTTTATGTGACTTTATATATTTAATGTTCTAATTTTTAACATCTAAATGATTTTATAATACATTTTGTTATGCTACATATGGATGCATAAACATTTCTCCAGAAACATTTTCATTCTACATTTACATTTATGATTTCCTTTAGAAATCATGGTTTTCTCCCATTTGACTACTTTACATGGTACTGTAGGGCACACTACATATCTATCCCTATAGTAACAGAAAATGAAAATATGTAAATTGGGTTCCTTTAATAAGAAATTCAAACCACTTAATGGTCCATGCTTCCAATCACACTTTACATATATCATCTATCTTATGGAATTTAGTTTTTTTTGCTTTCTCCGTGGGAGTGCTAATATTGGAAAGGTATTACCTGCATTTCAGATTTCACAAACCTTTAACTAGACTCCTCTTGGTCACCTGTTCTAAATCCAAAATTACTGGGCAGTTACCTTACACTAACACAAATAGGAAGAAATTATATTCAATTTTCAGATTTTCATGTTTGTTCATTTCATATGTCATTTTGTATTTTAAAATGCAGGCATATTCAGAAACTCTGAATGGGAGATAAACAGAGACATTAATGCAAGATAGTCCTATAACAATGTGCTACATATGAAATCACATTTTCTTTCACATTTAGGTCATCATCACTGTATTTCTCTGTGTAATTTAAGGGAAATAAACCACTTATTTCTCCCACAATAGCCATTGCTATACTTTAAAATAGAATGCAATTAGAATGAATTCATAAATCTCAGAGAACAAAAATTTGATTGAAACTAAAGACAGGAATTCTAGATAAAACTTTGGTCTTGAGTTTTAACTTATCCAATTTGAAGAACTTAACACAACTAATATAACTCTGGCACTATAATAAGCTATACTTCTGTTTTTATTTTTAATTCTTCATCTATTTGTAGTATGTTTTATTCCTAAAATGGAATTTCATTTTGAGCTTATGAGTTCAATGAAAATATCTTCTGTTTTCACCGTATTAGGACAA